ATACCTTTCCCTTGAACTTTAAGTACTAACAGAGGTACTGATTGGGTCAACCGGTCGACTGCGACAAATCTGCTATATCCCCTTCCACGACTCTTAGCAATGTGCACAGTTTCTCGGTTTATTTCATACGTTTGGCAACGTGTTTACTGTTCCCTCTTTGTTCAGTACATTATAAACGCATTGTACTCTTCTTACATACGGAAATCTCGACCCAAGACTAACCTTTGCCAGCCCTTATTATAGTACTATTGGTCGTATCATTGTTTGATACATTCTGACCTTTAAACTAAAAATATTCTTGACACAATTTCCTGGGTTTCATTTCGTTTCCTTACGAATACTTCCTCAAACTTGTATCGATTCCTTCTCAGAATTTATTTGTATCTTCCCTTCTCAAAATATCTGATCACTCCATAAACTTAGTTTTCTTCCCATTAAAAGCCTACCTATCTTCATGCGAAAATTAACATACAAAATTATTTTTCAATAAAAAACTGATATTGATAGCAATTTCACTTTCACTCCCTTCATATTCTTAACGAGACATCAGAAGCACACTCTAAAATATCAATTATCTTAATTAATTTCATATCCCTATTATCCGGAAGTTAAATACAGCTTTAATGCTTAATTTTCTGTCACATAACGCCTATTATGAAAGAGTTTACGTTTTTTTATAAAACGCCTTAAGAGTTTTCAAGTGCTTTTACTATGTTAATTAGCGCGAATAAATCTTAGTGTCATAACTCTCTGAAGCAGTTAGTTTCAATTTTTCTTTTATACGAGTGATTTAAATTAAGTGATTTATCATGTATATATTTTAACATTTCAGTTTGATTACACAAGAGGCTGAAAAGTAAGTTAAATATCAAATTTTATTATTTAAACAATATTATATTTATATTTGTACAAACATATTTTTTAGAGATATGCTCAGGTTTATTTATAAGTATTGTTGTATGATTGCATCAACAAAACTTACTGTGCTAATAATTATTAATATTTATTTATTGGCTAATTATAAATGTGGCAACTTGACACTTTTTACAACAGAACTACCACCTAAATTCCTAGCGGGAAATTTAAATTCCAGTTAGCCAGCTCGGCGCCGAATATTTCCATGGTTGGCAAAAATGAATTTAAAAATCGCGCCCACCGATTACGTCACTAAAAGTTTAATTGGTATGAAATATATATTTCAATCATTGTTAAAACATAATCTCACCATATAGTTAATAAAAAAAAGATTAATAAATTATTTAAACCTTTGAATGAAAATTGCGTAGTATCTTCTCTGATAATTTGTTTACCATAATTACGGATTTGTTTATGAAAGGACAGTGTTGTTTAATAAATAAATGCTCTGTTTCATTGATGACTATTTTATATTTCAAAACAAAATATTTTATTCAAGGATTGGCAGCTGCTGGAATTGCTATTAATATCTTGTCATTGAATTTTCAGAAAAATTTAAATCTAATAAAGTGACCTATACCGGACGTTATAAAGGTTAATAGAACATCAATTGATAATTGTTTTAATTTACAACTTGAATTAATTAGTGACGCAAGGTGTGGGTAAAAATACAGGGTGTCTTGGAGTTAACAATAACCAAATGTCGTTTGCTCTTAAAAATGTTTTTTTTGTTATTTTTTAACTTAATGATAAAACTACAAAATTCAAAAAAAGCTCTGGCTTGATTAATTAACTTTTATCCTTCTCAAGTCCTCTTCAACATTCCATTTTCATCATCTACCCCTTCTTCTCTTTCCATCTATTTCACGCCTTATCATTTTAGTTACTCTTGTTTCAGCCATTCTCTCAATATGACCTAGCCATCTCAGTCGTTGTGCTCTATACTCGGGAAACGATACAGTTGTTTTGTTTCTTCGTTTGCTCTTCTGGTCCACATCTTCTTTCTTCCAAAAATCTTCCTCAGTAGTTTGTTTTTCCAAATAATATCTACAGTACCGGCCAAAAGTGGAGAAACGTTTTAAATTTATTTGCTGCCGTTTTACAAGAACGAAAATGTTTATAAAGCATATATATTTATACATAGGACAACTGTCTCATAAAAATCCACACAAGATTTTTTTGGAAAAACTTTTATTAAATTTTGAAAAAATTAAACTAATTTCTATGAGGCCAAAATGGAGAAACTGGTATTTTTTATACATTTGTAGTCGCTAGTCTCAGTATTTGGTTGCATAGCTTTTACTTTTTATGACTGCTTGGCACCTTCTGGGCATAGACTCAATCAAGTTCTTTATTACGTCCCCGGATATTTCATTCCAGGCTTGTAATAGGGCAGCGAACAAAACATCTTTATTTTTAAATTTGTCCCTGTTTTTACGCCTACCATCGTCTTCTAGTTAATCCCATAGGTTCTCTATAGGGTTCAGGTCGGGGCTTTGAGCTGGCCATTTGATCACTTCAACTTGTTCATCGGTTAAAAATTCCTTAATAAGTTTGGCAGTGTGTTTCGGATCATTATCGTGTATAAATTTCCAGGTTAAAGGGAGAGAGGGTTCAGCATAAGGTACCATTGTTTTTTGCAAAATATTTAAATACATATAACGATCAATAATTCCATCTATTTGAACAAGGGGCCCGACCCCATGCTCAGAAAAACAACCCCAAACTAGAACGTTCCCACCTCCATGTTTTATGGTGGGTATGGTGTACTTGGGATTGAACCTCTCATTGGCAGGACGTCTCACCCACTTAATACCATCCGAACCAAATAGATTGTACTTGCTTTCGTCCGACTAGAGTACATTTTTCCACTGCTTGTAGGTCCATGTAGGTCCAATTTCCATGTTCCAATGCAAATTTTGGCCTGTATATTTTTCTTAGAAATAAACGGCTTTCGGGCAGTTCTTCTGACATTTAGTTGTACCTGTTTCAGACGCCGTCTAATGGACGTAACAGATATTGAAATAAAGGGATATTCGTTCCTTATATCCTCCGCAGTGCAAAATGGATTTCTAAGTGAATATCTTCTTATTATTTTATCTGTCGCCAAAGTTGTTTTTTTTTGGTCTTCCGGGCTTGGGTATACTGGCAGTTGTCCCACGGCTTCTATACAAATTAATCTGTTTGCACAAGGTTGCAATCTAAGCACAAGGCACAGGAAGAAGAAGAAGAAAAATATTAAAAGTTTCTCCACTTTTGGCCGGTACTGTAGCTTCGAATTTTCCGTTGCATTGAGCGTCCACGATTCACATGCATATATAGTACTATTGGTCGTATCATTGTTTGGTGCTTGCTTTTAATGATTCTCTGTAGTGCCTTTACACATCTATTTCCTCTCATTATTGCTGACATAATTTCCTGGTGTACATTTGGTTTACTTATAAATACTTCCTCAAGGGGCTTCTATCATTTCCCTCTCTCAGAATCTATTTGTAGACATCTTCCCTTCTCAAAATCCGTATCGTACCACTCCATAAACTTAGTTTTTTTGGTCACCGATATCAACTTTATCCGATATAAGCTCTATCGATATCAGCTCTATCTTTAAATTTTTACTTACTAGGATAACTAAATTGTCTGCAAAGGCATTCGTGTCTTTTTGTATACAGAACGCCCAGTGAGTTAATATTCATTAAATTGGCATATCTTCAAGGTTCTTGATACTTAACGGGTAGTAATAAATGCAAAAATCAGCATAAAAATAATTTTTCAATAAAAAAATGATATTGATAACAATTTCACTTTCACTCCCTTCATATTCTTAACGAGCCATCAGAAGCACACTCTAAAATACCAATTATCTTAATCAATTTCATATCCCTATTATCCGGAAGTTATACAGCTTTAATGCTTAATTTTCTGTCACATAACGCCTATTATGAAACTTAAGAGTTTTCAAGTGCTTTTACTATGTTAATTAGCGCTAATAATTCTTAGCGTCATAACTCTCTGAAGCAGTTAGTTTCAATTTTTCTTTTATACGAGTGATTTAAATTAAGTGATTTATCAAGTATATATTTTAATATTTCAGTTTGATTACACAAGAGGCTGAAAAGTAAGTTAAATATCAAATGTTATTATTTAAACAATATTATATTTATATTTGTACAAACATATTTATTAGAGATATGCTCAGGTTTATTTATAAGTATTGTTGTATGATTGCATCAACAAAACTTACTGTGCTAATAATTATTAATATTTATTTATTGGCTAATTATAAGCCTTATAGAATATTGGTTTATGGTTATATTGTTTATACAGGGTGGCCCATCGAAAACGTTCCGCAAGGCATAACGCCCAGGGTATTCTTTTTTCAAAAAACCGAAAAACACGTCAATTTTGTTTGTGAGGGGGACAACTTTTGCCCCAAAAATGATTGCGAAATCTTCAACCCTCTGAGCGGGGGTGTTATCCCCCAACTTTTATATAGTTGTTCTGTGACTTGTACGTTGAAGTTCTTCTCAATATCGTTAAACTGACCCACAATACAATTTTCAAAAATACCAGCCCACACGTTCAATTTCTGAGTGTTTTGTGTGTGCACCTCGTGAAAAACCCTGGGGTTGTCTTCAGCCCAGTACCGACAGTTGTGCCGATTAACTACACCGTTCAAAAAGAAAGTACACTCATCCAAAAAACACACATTAAATAAGAAATTATTATCATTCGCCACTCGTTCACTCATAGTTTCACAAAATTGCAAGCGACAATCAAAATCGTCTTTGTTGAGTTCTTGTACCAACTGAATTTTATACGGGTGGAACTTGCTTTTTTTAATATCCTTTGGACACTTGTACGATTCACGCCGGTCTCATTGGCTAATTTTCTTGTACTCAGCGTACTATCCATGGTAACTTCGCCCAATACAAATACCTCCATAGCTTCATTTACTACAGGATTTTCCCTCTGCCTCTTTTTATTCATAACGGAACCAGTTTCGCGAAATTTTGCTACTAACTCGCGAACAATTTTGCCATAAAGGTAGTTGTCAGAATGGCGTTCATTGAATATCTGCGCAACCCGATTGCCACATTCATTATTTTTAAAATAAAGTTCGATTATTTCCACTTTTTTCGCAAGTGAGTGGCGCTCATAATAATTGTTAAAAATTTAACGATATTGAGAAGAACTTCAACGCATAAGTCACAGAACAGCTATCTATAGTCTGTCCAACGAGAAGATCCTTGACAGTGATAGATGTGTCTGTCATTTTAATTTCAAAGTAGTTTGTTTTATTTTACAAAGAAATAAGTTGGCACAGCTGGAACGCATAGCAGGAAATATTTAAAATTTGATTGACAAGATGACAAGTGATTACTTCAAAATATGGTGAAAAAACTGTATAAAACTGAAAAAATGTAATCGAGTTATTTTATTTAATAAAAACGGTATGTGTTAATACAAAACAAACAAGAACAAGACACTACATACCAAAAAAATATAAAATAGAACTATTATTTACTTTCAAGCTTTATGAAACTACCCGCATTTTGTAATATTCCACAGGAATAAATAAAACAACATAGGTAAATAAAACAAACTATTTTATTAACACCTACCAAATTTTATACCTTAAAAGTTGATTAATTAACTTTAATCTTAATTTTTTTAAACCAGTACCTTTTGACATTATTTTTCTGCAGTATTAAAATCCATTATTTACCTATCGTGTGATGTCGATATTTTACAGCTACTCCAGTTTTTAGTATATGTTTAGTTTGATCCTTCTACCATATACGAGATGCACTTATCTACGACGAAATGGTATACAAACTTTATCGATGGCAACTTCATTGGTGTATAAGACTTTCTGCCTGGGCAGCGAGTATTAACCATAAACTGTGCTCTGGGTCTACAGTTAATTTTACTGATTTTCCCCACTTGACTTCAAAGACACAAAACCGAGCACAAAAACACACGTAATAATAATACGAATCAAAATGCATCATCTTCCAAACGCAGGGTATTTAACAAAAGTTGGCCAAAATTATAACCTATAATTTGGCAAGATTTTTGACAAGCATCAAAAAATGACAAAAATCTAAAGGCGAGTTCATATTTATCGGCGTCCGTTTGTCGTTCATCGTTCCGTCAAACCAATAAAATTGAAATACGATCTGTCATTTTTTAAATAAACCAATAAAACTGGTTAAAAACAAGACGACACGACGCATGACGGATTTATATTTAAACCCATCCATAGATAACTTAAAAATTATTAGAAACTTTTTTTAGTAAAATAAATAGATTGGTACGGGACGTCATCTGCTTTTCTTCTGTCATCGTCTGTCGAAATCTTACCTGAGAAAAAAAACAGAGTATAGCGCACTTGATCGTTCAACCTTGTGGCAAGTGAAAAAATGCGTACACATCTAGAAATAATAAGAAAAGCAGCAAATTGATCGAAGAAAATTATCCTTATCATTTACTCTGATAAATGTTTAAATAAACTTTTCAAATTTCAATCCTTCATATTTTCTCAATGACTCGACCGATTTTCAAAAACGAAGCCGGAAAGTATAGAGAATAGAAAGCTCTTTTCATTGCGTTACCACTTGACCCCCCTTCCCATTTAAAAAAAATGGGGGATGACACCCCCGCTTAGAGGGTTGAAGATTTTGTAATCATTTTTGGGACAAAAGTTCACTCACAAACAAAATTGACGTGTTTTTGAATTTTCTGAAAAAAAAATTACCCTGGCCGTTATGCCTTGCGGAACGTTTTCGATGGGCCACCCTGTATATTTCTTTTTTCACTTATTTTTTTCAAAAAAAAAAGAAATATAAGGTGGGATGATACGGTTCAAGTGAACGGTATAGTGAAGTAAGACCAAAACATAACATTGCTGTATATGATATATTTTTTTATTTTCGCGTTAAGATTTATGTTGTTAATTAAATTATACAGCTGGGTTGGAGTGATTTCATATGATTTTTGTTGTGCATTTTATTCATTCCTCTTTTACTTTATTTTTATGTTAGGTATTATAATAATCGAAACATTGTTATTAACAATATTTTTCTTATTGTTACAGACATCGACACTACGAAGATGAAAACGAATGGAGCTGTGGCAGCTGGCTTGAATACACGGTGGTCGTCGTTTTGGCCAGCGTACTATTACTGGGTTCCTTGGGATTAACCTTGTTCTGGGTATTTCAATACCGAGGTGGATTCGCTTGGAGAGAAAATCCAGCCAAGCAGTTCAATCTTCATCCGGTACTGATGGTTGCCGGGTTTATTACTTTCAGTGGATTCTGTAAGTGTTACCGAATTATATCACGCAACGATTTGATCTGCATGCCAAATGTTAAGACCAAAACGATAGCGTTCTTTTCACACTACACGTCTTGATTTTATAAAAGATAATTTCGTCAGTCTATAGTCTAGTATACAGTTCCTGCCAAATCCGTGGTCTGTGTAGTTAAAGGTATTCAGCATGTTTAAAGATCACAGAACTCCTCTCTTCGATGAGATCTTTATCTGTACAGGACAGTTCAAATCCCTCAGATATCATTGCGTGTAGTGTCCTTTTAAGACAGACTCTCATTAAATGACTTTTTGGACATAAATGGATGCAGTTGGGTCTACACTGGATCTCTGGTTTATAGATTCATATTAATATTTAAATTAACTTCGCTGTCGTGTGATTAAAAGGGTACTATCAGGCCCGTTCCTGGGGTATCTGGCGCCTACATGCAGCATTCTTTGGTGCGCCCTTTTTATATTAAAATCAATTATATATTTTAATCTTAATCTCAAAAATTTAAAGAATTTATATTCTGCGACAAACGAGCAATATGTAATTGGAAATGTAAAAAAACTATTCTAATTAAAGTATAAAAACATTTATTAAATAAATAAAACAAACAAAACCACAAATATTTAATAACAAAAATATATACCCTAAAAAGAAAAAAACTGACCCATTTTATATGAAATACATAAAAACAATAAACTAAAATTCGGAAATAATATACATGTACTGATTTCTTTCGAAAATCTAAACAACTATGAAACTATGAAGCTTTCCCGGACACAAACGGTACATTGTGAGACAGGAAATTGTAGAGAGAAACAAGCCCTATAACATAGGATACAACATTTTAATGAACAGTGCTTTCCATAAAATCAATAAAATGAAAAAAATACGAAATAATATACATGTACTGATTTCTTTCGAAAATCGACAACTTAATAACTATGGTCCCTTCCCCGACACAAACAGTACATTGTGAGACAGGAAATTGTAGAGAGAACCAAGCCCTATAACATAGGATACAACATTTTAATAAACAGTGCTTTCCATAGTATCAATAAAATGAAAAATATACGAAATAATATACATGTACTGATTTCTTTCGAAAATCGACAACTATGAAACTATCAACCGACACAAACAGTACATTGTGAGACAGGAAATTGTGGAGAGAAACAAGCCCTATAACATAGGATACAACATTTTAATGAACAGTGCTTTCCATAAAATCAATAAAATACAAAATATACGAAATAATATACATGTACTGATTTCTTTCGAAAATCGACAACTATGAAACTATGAACCCTTCCCGGACACAAACGGTACATTGTGAGACAGGAAATTGTAGAGAGAAACAAGCCCTATAATATAGGATACAACATTTTAATGAACAATGCTTTCCATAAAATCAATAAAATGAAAAAAATACGAAATTATATACATGTACTGATTTCTTTCGAAAATCGACAACTATGAAACTATGATCCCTTCCCCGACACAAACAGTACATTGTGAGACAGGAAATTGTAGAAAGAAACAAGCCCTATAACATAGGATCAACATTTTAATGAACAGTGCTTTCCATAAAATGAATAAAATGAAAAATAAATAGATGAAATCAATGTGTTGCCGACAGATTGCCCTAGACTTGTTTATTCGGTGCGGCCAACGCAAAAAAGACGCTAAGCAAACTTTATCCTATGATGGTTTAAGTATTGTTTATTGGCAAGAAAACGTATCGGTTTTTTGTTACAAAGTACTGATTGACCCTTTGATTTTGCGCCCCCAAAATGTTGCGCCTACGTGCGTGCACGCACTGCACGCCCTGGGTACTATAATAATCTCACTCTGTTATTGGAAGTAAGAGAGAAAAAGCTATATAATATAATTTGCACATTTGCTTACATTTTCATTAGATAGCCAGATTTCGCAATTTTTATTATTTCGCAATGGTCATTAAGAGAAGTGAACGTACAGAAACGGTACGTTATGTAGTTTATATGCATTCATATGCGTGTGTCGTTTTTTTAAGTAAGTAAAAGATAGCTTTATATTGCCGGCATCAGCCTGTGCCATCTGTTTATTTCTATTTCATTGAGCTAAAAAATCACTCTTTGTTACCGGCAATTCACTGTTATTTTTATATTTTATTTTAAGGATTTTAGGAATGTTGCTAAATCTTGGATTTTACTAAAAATATCAGCTAATTCTAACCCAATGAATGTATGTATTTTTAATAAATTTAAAACTGTATCTATAATTTTTCTTCTTATAGTTAATTTGTTTCAGTTCATTATTCTTTATAATTGTGTCATGAATTATGGAAGACATTTTTCAAATAATTCTTATGGTGTTTAATACAAACATAAAAGTTTAATAGATGTTTTGTCGATCTAAGTGACATTTTTTTAAAAAATATACTAATAAATAAACTGGCTAAAATGTAGCCAATTTACACATGATTATTATTACTATTAAAAATCATCATAATGCAAATAACACTTCTCTAGTAGATTTAAACCAATTAGTGAATACATATTTTAGCGATTTCAATCTAATTATATGTGATAATCTATGTAAATAATTAACAAAAAACTACGAAGATGTTTATTTAGTACACAATATAAACAAATTTGTGAAATTTAGACTAAAATCTATTACAGAATTTCATTAACAGAAGACTGAAATTATCATTTGTAATGCTAATCTATAGATGAAAAAGATCATGAAAACCTTGACATTACAGAACATGTTCTTAGTTCATAGACAGATGTAAAGAATGATTTAATGGATTGTTTATAAAATAAGTAAATAAGTATTCACCTGTACATCTAACGGGATTATCTTGAGAAAACCGCATATATTTATAGATTTTATTAAGTTTCAATGTTTTAATGTCATCATTAGAATACACTAAGACAGAACAAATAGGTATGAAGTCTTGACAATTATATGGTAAAGCCAAAAATTAACAATCCTATTTTTACTTAATAGCAACTTATCTTAAAATTAAAAAAATAAATCTTATTATTTCACAAGCACATTTTAAATTCAAATGCAATGGGTGTATAAATATTTTCTATTATCTAAAAAAAGGGGGGATTTTAAATAAATTTGTTTAGGAACCCTGTTTGTAAACAATGCAATTCTAGAAATTATGGAATATAAATAGAAAGAACAGAAAGAAGACAATTGGAAATACTGGGATTCTTAATTCGTTTTAATAGCTTAAATTTTTTAATGCGGATAAGACGAGCTTCTGTTGCAAAATTAATTTTAAATCTTAATATGCATTATAGAATTTAGTATACATATATTTATTTATTTAGCGTATGGCTCTAGTACACATAAAATAACATGTTATTATCACAGCTGTAAATACACTAATAATAAGAATACGAACAAAAATTGAACATGTCAAACACAAAATGTAAAAAAAGAAAATTTAAAATATAGTACAAAAAACAAACTTGTCACAAATAGGGAATGCAATCCCGCACCAAAATCTCAATCCCGCAAACCCGCGGGATTAAAGCAGCCAATCCCGCGGATCCGCAAAATTGCGGGACTGTAAACAATAGTCATACATTTGGTCCTAAATTGTACAAAAGGCATTGTACATTTTGCATAGGCCCACGATATATTGATATAGGGTGTATCTTAAACTAGCTATACAGAAATTTGGACCGATGTATACAGGGTGTTCAAAAAATATATTTAATATTAAATAAACTTAAATTTTATTATAATTTATCTACTTATTTTATAAATAAAAATATTATTCTGATGTTGAAGTTTTTTTAACATGTGTTAGTTATCTGCTTTTAGATACACTCTATATCAATAATTTTTTGGCATATGCAGAATGTACAAAGCTTTTTGTACCATTTAGGACCATACGTATGACTAAAAAACTTATCAAATTGTTTTTTCTAATTTCAATACAGATTAGCCATACTTGGTAAAAATTTCGATTTTTTAAAAATAATAAATTTGCGGTAAAAAAAATTCTTGACCAAATTTTCACATTCTTATAAAACACCCTGTATACGAGAATTCGCTATATATATTTTCGAAAGCCATATAGCATCTTAATCACAATAGATGCATCTAAAACCTGGTCCAAACCGCATCCCAAAATCTTTTTTAGTTCAAGAGATACCTATTCAACTTTAAATTTACCCCAAAATTTTGCTTGTCCCGATAATTACATATGTCCGGCAGTTTATTTGACGAAATTGTCCACTAGTTAAACGCTTTTCTTCACTTACGCACATACGCCAGAAAGAAATCTACAAGTAACCTGCTTGTTTCACTTATTTTTAATGGCCAAGGTGTAAACGGAATCCACCGGGTTCCGACCGTCGCGTCGACGCATCGGCCCGGAACGAAACGGTTTGACCCTGATCGAGATCGATTCGGTTACCCAGTAGTAATGCCGCAGTAGTAAGCCCACGGATCCCGCACGGTAAATCCCGCGGAATCTCAGATAGATCCCGCTTTTGCGGGATCCAGCATTTGCGAGATTGCATTCCCTAGTCACAAACTCTAGTCTTTTTATATAATCAATCGCACTTGGTGTTGCCTTGAGAGGAAATCTCCAAAACCTCCCTCATACGTCGTTAAAGTGCATTCCTCTCTAATATGTCGAACAGTATGTCGTAGAGCTCCACAATTACATACCGGAGTGGTGGCCTTTCCCTATTTATAGAGAGAATCCATGCACCTGCCATGTTCGGTTCTCAGCCTGTTTAGAGTCTTTGGCCAGCCCTCAGCAGAGCTGGTATTCCTAATAAAATTGTAAGAATCATAAAGGCGCTCTATTGTGAGGCTCAATGTGCTGTCTTTCATAAGGGTCAACGGAGTAAATCCATCAACATTCGGAATGGGGTGAGGCAGGGTCACTTCCTATCGCTATTTCTTTTTAATATCCTCTTAGATGATATTCTATACAGAACAATTTCCTGGAATCATCGTGGAATATGGTGGACTCCCTT